GAGGGGACGCCTTCTGCACCATCAGTCCAGGATGAGTAAGGACACAGGTGGTGTGCATGAGAAATGGCATCCGTGTTTGTCTCAGTCGCTGCCCCACCTCTGTCCTTGCATACCTTAAGTCCTCTATGGAAGAAGGTGAGGCTCACCAAATAAGTACTACTTGTCCATTCTTTCTCTGTGTGGCAGCCACCCCAGAACTGGCCAACGAAGTGAGTCAGGACCATGCCCAGCTGTTACGGTGCCTCTTCCTGGCTAGCCACAGATCACTGTGGGCAGCTTGGCTCCGTCTACCCCCTCTCCCGCCTCCGCCCCTGGGGCGCGCTCTCCATGTGCCTGTGATCACCCCTGTGCTTGGGTGGCATGTGTCCAGCAGCGTGTCTCGCTTGCACACCGTAGTGTGGGCACCCTGCAAGGACACACAGACATGCAAGCGTGTGTGTGTGGTAGGGTGGTGGTGCTGGACCATTTCTGTTACAGCTGCCACTCCAGGGTGTGGGCCACGTGACAGATGCCGCCGGGCAGCTCCCAAATGGGTGTCTGCCGAGGGCTTAGGGATCCCTGCACTTCAGAGCTGCTGATGCGGGGAAGGGTGGGGTGGGCTGATGGTGGAAATCAGAGAAGGGTGTTGGGATCAAGAGCAGATTGCAGGGGAGATAAAACATGGGGATTATCGAGAGGCCTTGTTTTCCCCACCCCCTTAAGATAGAAGCCTGCTTCCTTCACCTGGTTCTGAGTTCGTTCGGGTCAGATTTTCAGTTCTTTGAGGCTGATTTCCAAATCCTTTCCACGTGCCTTCTTTTCTCTCCTTTCCACTGGGAGTGATGGAAGTAGCAGAAAATTATAGGTGCTAGAGGAAAAAAGAAATCACAAGGAGTGTAATTCTGAAAGTTAAAATCAGGTGGGGGTCTGAAGGCAAATAATTCGTTCAATGCAAAAGCAATTATACACGGAATGGTTAGGTCTCAGCTACTGTTTCGGTGGGCAAGCTTGAAAATAAGTAATCTCTCGTAATTACCTAAAGAATTACCCACTGCGAAAGCTTTTGAAAATATCAAGGTCTATATAAAAGAAAAATAGTCATCAGAGGGAAAAGGAACTTCAAGAAAATGGAAATGTTTATTGCAGAAAGAATGAAAAACCAGATTGCTCGTTTTCACACACAGCTTTTCAGCACCATTATCAGAACCTCTTTTAATTCCTATCAGACTGTTGGGAAAGATAGACAAGGACAGACTGTGACAGGTGGAGGAGAGAGGTTGAGAGAATGGGGACCCCACCTAATGCAAATGGTCGGGAATAGACCCAGCGAATTCATCGCACCACAGTGCTCTGCGCAGAGAGCTTCACCGACTAAAAAGTATTTTATCCCCAGAGGCGGGAAATCAACAGGACTGCTGGTCAGACTTCCCCTGAGAGCGCACATGCAGGTTCCTTGCGGTCCGGGCTGGTCTGGCCAGCAGGACCGAGGCCCACGTGGCTGCAACTCCTCTCCCATCAAACCTCGGTTCAGCTCGCAGAGACACCTGTCGGGTTTTGACGAGGCAACGTGTGCTTGATCCTCCAGCGCTTTTGTGGAGGGTAAACTTCCAAGAATTCTTCAAGTCAGTTGTGCTTTTCTAAAACGGCTGAAGTAATGTCTTTCCCAGTAGGTAGATAATGAGCTTCACCTCTTGGCCGTCTCAAAGACGGCTGCTCTGGTGCCCTGGGAACCTGTACAGTTTTTGTCATTTAATTATTTCTCATCAATTGCCTTTTTTTTTCCTGGACTGCGTGAGTTTTTCCAGATTCCTGTCTTGTAGAATTTGGTTCCCCCAACCCTGAGGATACCAAGTCTGAAAGTGGACCTGTTGTATCAGCTGGTATTTTATATAAAACTTGCGTTATGTTTTCCAAACAGTGGTTATTTCCCTGAGGGCAGAGGCTGTCTTGTGTTCATTTCTGTGTCTCCAGAGAGGGCCTGGCACAGTACGTGGCACAGAATGGGAACTCTGGGGACCGCATTCCTCTGAGCAGTGAAAGTCTAATGCAGATGTTAGCTGCAGTACAGTACTGCCGCCTGCCTGAAACCAAAGTAGGTCCTAATTAGCAGCATATCTGATTGGCAATATTATATGATTCTGACTACTTAAAAATTAGAAAGTAGCTCTTAACCTGAGTACCGTCGATCGACGAACTATTTCCAAACATAGGGTCTGTGCAGAAATAGAAATAAAGGGGCTTCTTTGTGAAATATAGGGGGCCACTTTACCAACTTGAGGTCTTTCAGGAGAGGAGCCACCCTATGGTTTGGGTTTCTCGTGGGGACCCTGAGCAGAGTGCTGGGAGGAGAGGGTGTCTTCAGTCTTCAGGTCTGGCCTGTTTCCCTGCTCCTTAAGTCCTGTGAGGCATCCGTGCCATCCTGGGTGCTCTCTGCCTTACATATCCTTTGGAGGAAGGGCACATAAAGAGTAGTTTTCTGGCCTCTCTTTACGGAGCACCTGCAGGACCTTTCTGTGAGGAGAAACCAGCTAATTACAGTGCTTCTGCTGGCTGCTTGTTTGACCTTAGTGTCATGAGGCCTCAGTTATCTCATCTGTAAAAGAAAAGGGTGTTGATTTATTCGCTCTCAAACATGTCTTGAGCTCCTGTGACATTTCAGAGACTGTTGAGGCCCCGGCAGAACAAAGGTGAAGCTGACACAGGACGCTGGACTCGGTGCTCGCTGCTGAGTGAGGGAGGCTGTAAGGCGGTCTGTGACAGTTCAGTGAGGAAGGTGCCGTGACGTGTCCAGAGGCGATGGTAGTGGTGGGTGCCCAGCTGAGACCATGGGGGCCGGGCGGCTGCTCTGAGCTGAGGGTGGAAGCAGGAGTAGGAGTTAGGCGGGTTGGTGCAGGTGACCTGACGCGTCACCAGCTTCTTGTTAAAGGCTATTTGAGACTCTCATGCCGTCTATGTTTCTTCCCATTAGTCTTAGTTTTTTCCTTCAGGTCACATAGAATAACTGATCTTTATTATTCACATCAGCCTTTTGTTTTAACGCATTTGAAGATATCATTGTCGTTCTTAAACATTCTCTTCCTGGCCGAGAATGTCCAGGTTCTCTATCCTTCATGATACTTATGATTGTAGACTGCAGTGTGCTTTTTGCAGTGCAGTTTATACGCTGCACGGAGCTGACCACTGGGTGGCCTTTGCGGGCTGGCGGAATTCTTGTCTTGCTGTACAGATGAGGAGACCAGGGTGCTGGTGGGGCAGACGTTCTCCTGGAGTCATTCAGCCAGGAAGCCGGGTGCTTTCCTGCGCCACGCACTCTTGCTGTGTCTGATCTCAAGACCTGTTTAATCCTCTTTAGCACGCTTGTTGTTTTGTTACGCCCCTTTCCCTGTACCCCGGACTGCTTTCCTTACGAGATGTTTCATTCATGGTCCTGTGTTGTCCAGCTGGTGCGTAGCATACGAAGGCTCCGTCCCCCCCAGACACGTTCTCTGTTTTGGGGGGGTTTTTTTGCGGTATGCGGGCCTCTCACTGTCGTGGCCTCTCCCGTTGCGGAGCACAGGCTCCCGACGCGCAGGCTCACGGGCCCAGCCGCTCCGCGGCATGTGGGATCTTCGCGGACCAGGGCACGAACCCGCGTCCCCTGCATCGGCAGGTGGACTCTCAACCACTGCGCCACCAGGGAAGCCCTGTTCTCTGTTTTTGATAGAACTCATTTCTGAGTCTGAAAAGCCCTTGTCTTCCTTAGCAGCCACTCATTGTGCGGGCACACAAAAAGCTTAGGGTTTACTACTTCATAAGGTGCTTATAAGGATTAAAATTCAGATAACGCTTAGAAAGCATTTAGCACGTGGCACCAGTAGTGTTATTGTTTATTTTTATTATTAAACATCACTAAAAATTTCTATGAACTGCTGTTCGGCCACATCATAGTGCGCTATAGGTGCAGAGTAGGAAATAAGTCCCGAAATTCCCTCTTTCCTACATCACTGAATGTTCGTTTTGGAAAAGAAAATTTGGAGGTCATTTCACCCACTTTCCTCATTTTTTGGATGAGGAGACTGAGGCCCAGCTTTCCGGAAGACTTACAGCAAGTTAGTGATATTTGTGTAATTAGTAATGACATTGTGAAACCAGCAAAGAGGGCTGTTTCCTGTTCTTAGTGAATGGGAGTGAGAGAGAAGGAAAAAAAGATGCCCTTTATTTTATTGTTTTTTGTTTGTTTGTTTGTTTTGTAAATTAGGAGAGAGGGGTCCAAGATTCCAAACAGACGTATCATTACCAGCTCTGGATGAGTTTGACCTGTGACCTCACATGGTTTTTGGTTTTTTTTTAAAAATATTTATTTATTTGGTTGTGCTGGGTCTTAGTTGAGGCAGGCAGGCTCCTTAGTTGCAGTTCTTAGGCTCCTTAGTTGTGGCTCGAGGGCTCCTTAGTTGTGGCTCACCTGCTCCTTAGTTGCAGCACATGGGCTCCTTAGTTGTGGCATGCAAACTCTTAGTTGTGGCATGCATGTGGGATCTAGTTCCCTGGCTAGGGATTGAACCCAGGCCCCCTGCTTTGGGAACGCGGAGTCTTATCCATCGCACCACCAGGAAGTCTCTCACATGGTCTTAAAGACTGTGTGTTGCTGAAGCACAGATCACATTCTTAATGCAGTTTTGGAAAATGTTCAGCCTAGGATAGGAGCCTGTGGAACAGTGTGCCCACAAGGTCCAGGGAAGCAGGGCCCCTTCTCCGCTGCCCTGCGCCCGCACAGCGTGGTGGAGAGTGGGTACTCGGCAAATGTTTCCTCCCTGTCTCCCGCCCATCTCCCCGTCTCACCTTTGCCCCTGCTCCAGGGAAGGAAGGCTAAGCAGTTTGGCCTTTTGGAGATGAGTACAGCATCTCAGAATCCCCTCGCAGCCCCCTGGCGTCAGGAGTGTCCCTGAAGCCCCACCCTCACCCCTGGGCTCTTGGCTGTTGGAGATGGGTCTCAACCCTGTGCCGCTCTTCCTTCTTAACCACCGGCTTTCATGTCTGTGCAGGAGCATCCCTGGTTACGTGTGCAGCCGGGTCCGAGGAGCCTGGCCCAGAGGGCCTCACCTCCACCTCCCTGCTGGACCTCCTGCTGCCCACTGGCCTGGAGCCGCTGGACTCAGAGGAGCCCAGCGAGGCCATGGGACTGGGGACTGGCCTGGGAGCCCCTGGCTCTGGCTTCGCCAGCGAAGAGAGCGAAGAGTCCCGCATCCTGCAGCCGCCGCAGTACTTCTGGGAGGAGGAGGAGGTGCTGAACGACTCTAGTCTGGACCTGGGACCCACTGCAGGTAGCACTCTCCCCTAAGATGTGGGCTGCTCACAGCCGCCAGGAGGCCTGGCACAGTGCCAAACAGCCCTTTCCTCCGCCAGATCATCCCCTCTCCCTCCCGACCCGCGTTCACCCTCTGCTGTCCACCTGCACCTCAAAGCCAGGTCTCTGGGCTCTGAGGGTCTTATTGGCCCAGGAGGCCCTTTTTACTTTTGTAACATTTACTTCTGTGGTCATGTAATTCAGTGTACTGCTTATAGGCTGTGAGATAAAGAATGTTATCCCTGTCTTCAACATGAGAAAGCAGAGGCTGAGAGAGGTGAAAGCTAGCACACCTGAGGTCATACAGCTGTCGAGATGATCAGTCCTGATTCAAGCCGAGGTCTGTCCAAGGTCTCGGGTTTTGTTTGTCTTTTCCCTCTTCTGTGCTGTATTGTCTCTCTTTAAGGTTCCTGGAGGTCAGCAGATCCCGTGTCCCTCCTTGGGTCTTAGAGCCCCACAAGGCATTCTAGGTGCCCTTCCCTCGGCCCTGCACCAGAGCTGGGGTCTGGCTCACAGAGCGAGCCCGAGGCCTGGAGCCAGCAGCGCACGCAGCTGTGGGCTGATGGCAGGTGCAGCAGGGCGTGCTCGCCGTGCTTCCAGCTACAGCAGCTGTGCGAACGTTCTTGGCCGGCAGGAGCCGGTTTTTAAGCACTGGACTGTCAGACTGTGTGTGCACATGCGTGGGGTTGGGGTGTTCCAGGATTTAGCACTGATTTTCCTTTTTTAAATATATAGTATTTGGGGGCTTCCCTGGTGGTGCAGTGGTTGAGAGTCCGCCTGCCGATGCAGGGGACGCGGGTTCATGCCCCGGTCCAGGAAGATCCCACATGCCGCGGAGCAGCTAGGCCCGTGAGCCATGGCTGCTGAGCCTGCACGTCCGGAGCCTGTGCTCCGCAACGGGAGAGGCCATGACAGTGAGAGGCCCGCGGACCACACACACACACACAAATATATATATATATATATATATATATATATATATATATATATATATATAGTATTTTGGATTTATGTTCTGTAAGTACAAAAATAATGCATGAAAACTGTAGAAAATATGACAAATACAAAAACAACACAAGGAAGAAAATCCGCCCGTGGCATCAGAGCTGAAAGGTAATTAGTGCTAGTGGCTTGGGGTACATCCCTCCAATCTCTCTTACATGCAGATTGGAATCATTTTTTCCACTTAAAATACTTCTGAAATTTATTTTCACATCATTAACTATCTTTTATAACTTGGCTTTCAATGACTGCGTAGTGTTTCTTCATGTAGATCATGACCCTCAGTATGAAATGGTTCCCTGTTTTTGAATATTTAGTTTGTTTCCAGTCTTAATGATGCTACAAATATCCCTATATATTTTTGAACTTTTCTGATTGTTCCTTAGGATAAATTTCTAGAGTAAGATTGCTAGGTCTAAAGATGTATCAATGAGCGTCCCACCCAGAAACAGAAGACACAATCGAAGTCAGGTAATCCAAGGAGGTTGTGGTTTGTTTTTTTGTTTGTTTTTTGACAGATCCTCCTCAGGTTTATTTGTACAAATAACAGGAGGACACCAGCCCCGTGCAGACAGCAGCCCACCGGTCACACCAGTCCTTCTGTCCTCACGTTGGCAGATAAAGGCCTCCACTCTGTAGCCTTTGTGGGGGCCTGGGCACCCTTGGGAGCCGGCACTGGAGCCGCAGCTGCACCTGCCGCTGTAGCCTTGGCCTGGGACTTTGGCCAGCAGAGCCTGAGACCCTTGGCGATTGGGCACGAGCACGTTTCCCGAGCTTGGGGTGAGCAGTGTAGGCAGGTTGACTAAGCTTGCGGGCGCAGCCCTTTGGGATCCTGGGCTTGACCTCCTTGGGCTTTACGAGAGCCTTGATATCCTCAGCTGCACACTCACGGCCTTGGCGTTGCTGGCCTGCATCTTCTACTGGCCCTTCTTGTTGTGCTTCTTGGCAAAGTGTGTGTTCCTCAGGAACTTGGGGTCCACCCCCTTAAGAGATTCGTATCGTTGTGATTGGGGTTTCTTGATGCCGTTTCTGTGGCATTTTGGGGACTGGTTGTGCGTGGTGTGGTTCTTGGGCTTGGCCATGTTTGCACCGGGGCCCCGCGGACCCCGAAGTGCCTGGGGCCAGAAGAGACCAAGGAGGTTTATTTATAGACCAGTGGACTTACCAGGGGATGGCAAACCCAGAGGAGTTCAGGGCTGCCAGCAGAGGAGCGCTCAGCGCCCCACACCCCAGGGACAAAGAAAGGGACACATGACAGGAGCCTGCGAGGACAGAGGGGTGGGGAGCAGTGGTCCTGACACGCGCAGTGAGGCGACGGGGAAGAAAGCGGAAGATAGATGCCCGGCCTCTGGCTCCTCCTGTCTCCTGCCAGAGTCCCCGTTGCTCTCCTTCCCTTGCCTCTGTGGAGAGGAGTCCAGGCAGGAAGCAGGGATGTGTCCCGGTTCGTGTGATTCACTGGGTCGGTCCCCGGGCAGAGGACGGGGTGGAGAAGGGTGGGCAGTGCGCCTGGGAGTGGGGTGTATCTGACACAGAGGATGAGAATCTTTGCACAGGCTTTTGTTCCGTATTTCCCAGGTGACCTCCAGAAAGGTTGCTCCAGTTTGCGTACCCGTCAGAGAGGGAAATGAATGCCAGATTTTGACCCCTTCCCATCACTGAATTTTGTCACTTGGAGATTTTTGTCAGTTTGATAGGCAAAATTATAATGGTCTTTGATTACTAGTAAATTTTAACTGAAGCATGTGTAAGTGAAACCCGTACACACTGAGTATAGTATATTCATTGTGACCATTTATCTTTTTTTTTTATTTGAAGCAAGGCAATTGAGAGCAGGCTTTGGAGTCGGGCAGATTCCAAAGTTCCAGCACTGCCATTCAGTAGCTATGTGATTTTTGGCAGGTGACAACCTGAGCCTCAGTTTTGTCTTGTAGGAAATAGTATCACAGTGTCCTGAGGTTTAAATGCAATATTACGTTTAAAGTGCTCAACACATCGTTAAGTACTCTGAAAATATTAGCTACTATTATTACTTTTCCTTTTTCTTCTATTGAGGCTTTAATTTTTTTATCACTGTACAAATCTTCTTATAAAAAGGATACAACCTTTTGACAAAAACAGAAAATGTTTTTCCAGTTTAGTAATTTTATTTTTATTATAGTAACATTTGACATACATAAGTGAGGATTTTTATAAGCTTGGACAGTCTTTCTTTTGGAATGTTTTCATGTGTTTTTCATGTTTAGAAAAGCCTGTCCCTCCGTGAGATAGACGCTCGTTTATTTCTTGTATTCTTTTTCAGCTTAAATTTTACTTGTAACTTGTGGCCAGCTGTCATCTGTTTGCGTTGTGGTGTAGGGTGAGGATCGAGCTCATCTTCCCATGTAGCAGGCCTGTAGCTACAGCAGCGTTCCTTGATAAATCTGTCCTCTCCTCGTTGAAAAGAAGTGCACTTTCCCCTCGCGCTAGACAGTGCTGTGTACTGGGGTCTTCCCTTTTGTCCAGACTCTTGGGATTTTAGTGTGAGAGTAGCTGTCATCGTTCGAGAGCCTCGGTCTGGAGGGAGCAGCTGTGTGCCACCTGTCCTCGGATCCCAGTGGGATGCCCCTGGGCCTGGATGGGCTCCGTCTCGTCTGCCCACTGCCCCACCCCCGTGCATCCCCCCTTCTTTTTCTCTCATGTCGTTTCTCTTCTCCCAGTGGCTTCTCTGGGGCTCACTGAGTGTGGCCAGGTCCTCATGCCAGCTCCATGCGGGTGTGTTTCCTGTGTCTGCTGTTCACGCCTGATAGCTGGGGACGTGCATGCCCTGGGGGTGGGGGGCGGGGAGGGCTTCGTCCTTGCTCCTTTCCTGCTGCTCTGTTTGCCCACCGTCCTGCCCTTTCCTCAGCTCAGTCTTCTCCAACACCCCGAGGAGATGTGTGCAGAAAGGGGGCCAGGGAGTAAAGGCCAAACGTCTTGGCGCTGCAGAGAACGCCCTTGACAGTCTGGCCCAGCCTTACCCCCGGCCCCATCTCCTCCCCTCCTGCGACTGCATCGTCTCATTAGCCTGTTGTCCGCCCTGCATGGCAGACGTAGGACTGATGCACGGGGACGCTAAGTGCTTTGCCCAAGGTCACCGCTGGTGCTGGTGCGCGATGGGGCTGCACTGAGAATCAGTGTCTTCTTACTGACAGTGGCTCAGGCCCATCCCCCGAGCCCGCGACGCCCTTATACCCAGTCCCACCTGCTCAGCGTCTTCCTCTCCACCCCGACTGCCTGCTGGGCTGTGTCCTGCTTCAGCACTTATCTGGAGAGATGCGGCCTCTGAGAGGCTCTTCCAGCTCCCCCAGGTGACGGGGCCACTGCAGGTGGCTGGGCTGGTGGTGCCCTGGCCCAGGGGCTGAAGTCCAGTCTGTGTACCTCTCACCAGGCCCTGGGCTGGATGGAAGGCACACCGTTTCCTAATTCATCCGCCAGTGGGGACGTCCTTGTGCTGGCGATGGCCCTGAGGTCAGTCTGCTTGTTCCTGCCTCCGTCTTCTCACAGCGCACGATGCTGTGCTCTGAGGATGCGACAGAGGCAAAGCGTTCAGGCTGTGGGGCTGATTTGTACAGGAAGGGATCGTGTGTGCCGCTCCCCCCCGCCCTCTGCTCCCAACCTGGGAAGTCAGAGGCTTCCCGCCAGGGGTCTCTGGGAGGAGGGAGGGCATCACTCGTGGCGTTTGTTGCTCAGGTCGGGGGGACCAAGAGAGAGGCCTGCTAAGGGCCTGCCAGGGTGGGGAGTCTGCCCAGAGTTCAGTGCCAACCTAGCAGGCCCCTGGGGACGGGGGTCGCTCCGTGCAGCAGTGGCTGTGAGGGCTGGGGGCCATGCTGCAGACGGTCCAGCCTCAGGGCAAGTTCTTTAATAACGAGGACATCCGACCTGGGAATTGAATGTCGAGTTGTGCCAGGCGCCAAATCAGGTGTTGTAGAGTGTTCCCTCCTTTAATCTTCAGAGAAA